ATATAGTTAATTTTCATCATTTGGCTTCATTCTATCTGCATTCTCCCACTCTGCATGAATTTGTTAGTTCAACCAATAACTTTATTTTCTCTTTGTTTTTGTTATTTTTGTCATAGTAGCTTCATCTGATCTCTTCCTGTTTTGGTGTGACTCCATGTTGGAAAAAAATATCAGCTGAGCTGCTGCCATCAACACATTTAATTACAGATATTAGCGTTGAGACTGTTATTCAGTGTTTAGACCTGTTTCTCTCCTAGACATAGCTACTGGCTGAGCTTCTACTGTGACAAAGTGTGTGTGCCCAGAGTTTGTCTGATTAATGCTTCATTTCTTTACCAGAGCCACCTATGGAGCTAGTTATTGGTTATCCTTTGTATCTATGCTTCTTTTTGTATGTCTGCTTCCTTCTCCTTGAATCCCGAGTCGGTTTCAGAATGTGCCTCACACTGAGTCTGATTCTGCTGTAGGTTTATTTCTGTTACAAGGGAGTGTTAGGATACTTATCATTGATGATGTGTGAATTCATTACACCCTAATATTAGCTACCTGTTGCATGTCAGAAGGAAGTTTTCCACAGTAATTTATCTAATTGGGCCATTTCCTCGGCCCAGCTATATACAGTTATAATCTTCATTCTGTATGTGGCAAAGATTTGGGGATGGAAGAGAGCGGTGTCCTTCACCTAAGAATGAAGAAAGTGTAATATTTTGGTAAGGCTAGAGCCATGGATGTCTCCTCATCTGCAAAAGTGTATAATGTAATGATGTGATGATATGGCAGACTGAAGTATAAAATGCTTCTCTACCTGTTTGTCAGGCCATTTCCCGAGAAGTGAGCCCAGTTGGTAAGCAGCTGCATTCTGCAACCCTAAGCAACTTCTCTGATCTGAGTAAGATTACAATTTCTATCAAAATCTGTTGTCATTTCTCATTGTTATTTGATACATTGTGAAGCGTTATTTAAAGAGTTTGTCTGGAGTGATCTCTTTTCAGGAAGAAAGAACCGGAGAGAGAAAGCTTCAAGGTGTAGACACAGAGCTTTCCTTTAACAGGAGTTTTCCCTCCCCACTGTTGGTGTGAGGGATTGCTGAAGAGTCACTGACAAAATGCAAGCGAATGTCTACTCTGTCTACATGCTGACATGATGCAATTAGCTGGTTTTCCTTCAATGGAAACTTTGAACCAATATGACTATGATCTATTTGAAATGTCTCTATAAATTTCCTTCTGATGACATGTGTTGTAAATTGGCTCTTCATAAATCAAATGGACTGAACTGAATTGAATATTTGAGCCAAATAGGCCCTCAAGATGAATGACATAAACATGATTGTGGTGAAGGGAAATCTTTCATTCAAAGCAATGTCCTTAAGGTATGGCAGAAGCAACAGAAAAATTAAGAAACAGCAGGGCAGTTTGTGTCATAGATCCTGAAACTGAATCCCAAGAGACATGATTAAGGTATACTGTATCGCATAGATGTCTTGTTGTACTCTTTTCCAAATAGAAAGCATCAAACAGGGATTTGTAATCATTGTAGTCAATTAGAATAAGTTGAACATGAGCTAATAGAATGTTACAAATATAGATAAGAATGTAAAGTCTTAAAAACAGCTCTAAATAAAGTGGTAAATGTACTAAGAGATATATGAAAAATAACAGTAATCATTTATTAAGATAATTTGCATATTCATTAAATCAATCATCATTGTTATTCATCATGCTTACATGTATATTAATTCTGAAAATTCTATTATGTAATACTACCCCCAGTAGTTGTTTATTTGCAGTGACCATTATTCAGCCACAGTGGGGCAGGATAGCCCAAAGAATCCCTGTCCATATGTGTGCATGAAAAATCTAGTTCAGCATATTTTTCTAAAAGAATACCCTTTCTTTTGTTATTTCATAATGAACCAATAATGATTTTGTAGGTCTTCCTCTTTGTGTGCACTGTTAGTTTATGCTATCCTTGCCCGAGCAGTAAATTTAGGAGCCCTGTAATGTCCTCAAACCTTTATTGGTTTATTGCTGTGCTTCTTTCATTCAAGAGAAAGGATTATTGACTTTATCATATTTTTAACAAATACAAATAACCTTTTTTTATTCTACGTTTGAAACCGATTTATCATCTTCTCAAAGATGTCTGTCTAATTTAATCATGATTGAGTAACAATATGAAAAATCTTTGGAGGTATGAGTACCTTTGGGCCTTACCTTGCTAAATACTCAGCTTACAGTAGCAACAGTTTATCAATTCAGTCCACCCTTTATAATTGTTTTTCGCATGTTTCTTTTGGTATATTGATATTTGGTTATAAGAAACGGTTATAAGGCCTCTCTGCCATCACCCTAATGTTTACTGCCCCTCTTAGATTCATCTTATAGTTGGGACATCGACTGGGTTGCTCCACTTTGAAATGACTTCAAATCATAGGAAAAGTGATGAGTCCCAGGTCACAATTCATTTTTAAAAAAGGAGTGGACACTAGTACAAATTAAAGGAGGAACCATGAGTCACAAGGAATGTTAGGTAAGTCACGAGGAGTTAGAAAACTCCCCGGGCTTGACTTTAACACAGGGTTTGACAATCAGGGGAAGAATAACAGTGGTGTAGCTCCTTAAATCTCCAGCAAACAAAGAAGAAAACACATGACAGGTGTGCCACCTGCCACAACTTGGCCTCGCCTCCTAACAGATGTCTGCTGTTTGGAAAGAGAGCTTCCTCAACCAATAGAAACACAACAAACTTTGGGGTAGAATTGAACTCATTTTTTAATCAATTTTATATATTTCTAAAAGCAACATGGTATTAGGAACATGTACAGTAGTATTCAGTAAATTGTAATATGGATTTCTTAGTCTAATATGATCCATCCATCCATCCATCCATTACTTACAAGTAGAAAATCCTCATACATAACAGAAATAAAGACTTTAAAAGCACAGTTTATATACTTTATATACAATGTGTTTACTTTGAATTGAGTTACTGAAATAGATAAGCATTTAAAAATGGAATAATTGATTTATATTATATATGTGCTTATATTTTTAAAACACATGTAAGTATGGTCTAATCTATCATGGGCTATCATGGAGTGATTTAAAAAGTATTCTCTAAGTGTCATAGTTACTATAATGAAGAAAAAACACAGTTAACTAGGCTTTCTGTAAAGCATCCCATGCACTTCTCTGTATTTATAGGGCTTTGGCACTTCATTTTTATCTACACAGTAAAAACTTTAAATCTAAATAAGTAATTTCTTCTTAAAATAAGTGCATTTGCTCTTGAATTGAAGAGGAAAGTGATACATATTTACTTTTGAAATAAGAAAAAAAAAATATTCCATTGTCTTATTTCAAGTGCATATCATCTTATTATCTTATTTTAAGAGTAAAAATAGTCATCCAATTGGCAAGCTATCTCATTTACCTACTTACATTATGGGTAAATAGACTTAACTTAAGACATTTTTACTTATTTCTAGATCATTTTTCCAGCGTATGCTCCTGTCTCAAGTGAAAACAGCAAGAAAACATGCATCCTTGACATGGACCTGAATGGCCATTTAGACCTCTTGAGTTAATATGTAACAGCTCCAGTAAAACTACAACATGATGCCAGCAGAACCAACGCTGCTTGTCATCATAAATTCTAATGGATTATACAAAGCCTTAAAAGCATCATAAACTCAAACATATTGGCGTCTGGACCACTTCAAAGCAGACCTGACCTCATCAGTTAGACCATAGAAGATGAGTTAAGCCATGCTGCTGGCTTTCCTTCTTGCTCTTCGTGTGCAGAGATGAGGATCACAGACCACATTCCTTCAGTCATGAGGCGCAGCTGATCTGAGTCACAAGCCAGAGAGTGAAAGAGAGGAATAAGCGGAACTGGTTCAGGCATGAAAAGAGCAAAACGCCAACGTCTGTATTGGCACCAACCTGCTTTCGAGGAACCACTTTAAAGGCTCTTCTATTTTTCGGGGACAAGTGCAGCAAGAATGACGAGGGGATACAAAGCTCACCACTGTTTTCATAGCATGGACTTTTAACCTAACTACAGGTGGGACACATTTAATCCTTTAAACAGCTTCTTGGAATCCCTATTCTTAGTTTGTGATTCACATTGTTTGTATACTTATGAAAACCAACTTTTTAAAAAAAGAAAGTTTGTGCAACACACTTCCAAATTATCTTAAGACATGCAAAACTTTTTGCTATAAGAAGTTATGCCATGTAACCCTTTGCTGAAATGTAAATATGAATCATGCCTCATCAGTAAACTTCAGTTGAGTTTCATCGTGACAGGAAATGTTTTTGTGTCAGGTTTCTAGCGGCCCTACTCAGTAAGAGATGTTGTTTACAGATAACTGTTGTTTTTATGGCACCCTGGTCTGTGTGGAGACATAATGCCGAACATGCTGCTTTTGATAAGATGCAGGCTTCTTCTTACATGCTTGCAAAACACACAACCAAGCAATGAGAGCTTTGTGCTAGCATTACCAAGCAAGGAAGTGAAAATGAAAGAAGGCAAACTCAAGAGGGAAGGGTTTTGTTTTGACACCTCGTTGTTAAAAATATGTCAGACACATTAAAAACATAACTGTGATGGAAATAGAGCAGGGGGGTTGGGTCTGCAAGAAGGATTTGGGTTTCTTGTTTGCCCCTTTATTTGCTGTTTGTCCATGAGGTTAATGGGCGTGCTTTTGATAAAGCTATAGGCTGTTCTGTACACTGTTATCAGATGAAAACACCGACAACCAAAAAGAGATTTTGAAAGAATAAACAGAAAAGACATTAAAAGAGCCTGCAGAGTTACTGCAGCCTGCAGAGATGCTGTTACTGCAGCAAAGACTATGGAGGCTGTAAAAGCAGAAGTGATGGTTTCCTGTTATTTCTCAAACTTTATGTATCTTTGGTGAACAGTGAGCGTATATCTCAGAGATTAAAATCTACGGTCTGTTACTGGGGCTGTCTGCTAAGCGATTCTAAGTCGTTCTGGCATAGAAGTTCTGCTTTTTGAACCGTGACATGTTAAAACCCTTCCGCTTCACATACAGACCTTTCAGCCCTGCCAGAGGAGCTCATGGCACCAGCTGGGATGTCCAAAGTAGGTTTTTACACACTGATAATAATCTGAATATATTTGATAAAGGTAATTATGTCGGGTTAATTTTAATTACATTTCTCATCGAGTTATTCTTTTTTAGTAGAATGTCGTAGAGGAAGTATAGTCGTTTATGTACTTTCTTTTATCACTTAGGGTTGATTATTGGCTCATCTGTTTCTGTCTTAGATGAAACTACTACCATCGTTAACCTTGTACATTTCTCTCACATAGAATGAAAGGAGAACACTTCTGGATCAGTGTTCCTCTTTTGCATTTGCTCTGTTTGCTGAAACCCCCCAGTCAGTCCTGAAAGGCCACTAACACTGAGCTGCTTCATCTGGAGGCTTCTTCCTGTTAAAGGGAAGTCTTCCTTCACACTGTCGCTATGTATGCTCAGGATGAGGAATTACTGCAGAGTCAACAACACCATGCAAACCACGCTGTTCCTTCATTCTCACTCAGAAGTAAAGGCTGCAAGTAAATTACTTGATGCAGTCTGCTGAGTTTCCTTATACTCAATATTTTTTTACCAATTTGTCTAAATGCTTTGACGGAACCGACACAGTAAAGTGTGTTTAAGTGAGATTTGGTGTGAAATTACTTTGTAACTGTTCTCAAAGGAATTGTCTGTTTGTTGAACAGAACAGGAGTCAAGTATAGGTGCCTTAATCTCAGAAGACAATATGCTTTATATTTTCTTCTTTGGGTGAAGATGGGTAGTTCAGTAAACCCCAGTCTAACTCAAAAATGCCATGATACACATGGTGGCCTGCAATGGAAATGTAGTGTCACAATTTTGTACATTTTTGGAAATGTAGTGTCCCTACATTTTATTTTGCCTGTTCCTCTACTTTGATTCGTAACCATGTCATATGACTGTTAAGTATGTTGCAAGGAAAATCAAAATGGCAGATATTCTCACACTCACATTGAAAATGCACAATCTTAAAGATATAAGTTTCTGTTATTTTCTTTTTATGGCATTCATCAGAACAACAATGCATAATATTTTTTCTAATCCTTAGGGAATGCATACAGGAATGTGATCAATATGTCACATCAGTTCATTAAGAAGGCACCATCTACTCACTGCTACATTAGGGTATTAGTGTATGGAGTTATTCTGTGATTCGGTTTGGTTATTCTGTTCTGCTTTATCTCAGGTGCCTGGTGTTAGCTTTAGCTACCTTAAATGGTAGATTAAACTAGGTCTCACTTGCTATGACTTTTGCTTTATGTTATTGTTATATAAACAGGCTTTGCAGGGGAAAAAGTATTAGTGGGTGCAAAGGACTGCACCATTCACTAAAGAACCATTGCCAGCTGTTTTGTTTGCTTTGCTACCTGCTTTTATCATGTTTGCTTTTGTTTTGGCTTCTATTTTATTTTTTTAACTACTTTTTTAGGTGTAAAGCACTTTGAATTGTCTTTATATAGAACTGCTCTATACAGATAAACTTACATACATAAATTACATACTTGCTTAGTCTGACTTACTTTAACTTATTGTTTTTTTTATCATTTAATAACACTAATCAGCTGATAATCAGCTAGATATGTGAAATTAAAAATACATCCATAGCTTCACTTTTGCTCTGCTAAATTTTGCTTCCAAAAAATTTTTTAATTTTCTATCTAACTCCTTTTGCCTGAAAATCCGATGCTATTTTAGCTTAAAAACCATGGCTAAATTATTAACTTTGACCCAGTATTTTGAAACGAATCAAAGAATTTTAATCTTTGATTGTGTGTTTTCAAGTGTTTTAAATCTTCTTTTTGTTCACTGTATTCACAACAATTAGGGTATTAGTTTTAGCATTTGCCAATGATTTGCTTCTTTTTGGAAAAGGGAAGATAACTCATTTACTTTTTGTTATTTTGAAAGTTTTCACCATTTTATACATATAAACTATTGTACCTGTTTGTTTTATGTCTAGTAAACAATTTCTAGCAGCCATAGTCCATTTGGCTTTATCCTTGTATAACAAATGATAATCCTAAGTGCGTGAATTGAAGGCAACTTGACATGACTGTGACTGTGACAGGGTACAGGAACGGCTGATGTGATGGAGAAAAACGATGGGGGTTGCCAGGAGGAATCTGATGTGGACTTTGAAATCAGACCAGCCATATCTGACGTACACACCAATAACAACAGATCTACATGGACAAATGGTATTTAAATATTTTTAAGAACATAAATAAATGGAGTTCAGTTACATTTATACATTGATATTTAACAATTTTATCATCTAAATGTAACCTTCACAAAAGTAAGCCGGGAGAAATTCACTTTTATATTATTTATTTTTTGTAGTTTCATTGTATAGTCTGTAATATTTGTGTGGTCTTTAGTAAAGGTTGTTGGAAATGTAAAATCTTATTTACATATAGTAGAACAGTTATAGACCTATATGCATTTTTTGTTACAACTGTCAACTTCCATTATTTAGTCAAATTGTGGTGGACAGATAATTTGGAATTTGAATGAACACTCTACATATTGACATACAAGAAGAATACAAAAGAAAATTTATTGTAGGATGTTTTTTTATTCATCGACCACTTGTTCTGGATAAGTCTTTGAAGTCCTGAGTGTTTCTGCCATTAAGTCTATATATGACCCAATGGAAAAAAAAAACAACAACCTTGGATTAAATAAAATTAGATGGTTGACTGATGATGTGACAGGTACCTGATAGTGGCAGTGGTGGATCTATCGGGGGCAAGAGGGGGAACACTCACCCCCCTGCTCTAGGAGCCAGCTGGCCTCCTAACTGATGTCAATAAAATGTCTATCTGAATAACCATTTTTCTGTTCAAATGTCATGTGAATTTAAACAAACTTTGTGTGAATTAGACATGGTTCCGTCTATTGGAGTGAATTAGACAGGTGTAATATCTTCATACGCTGACCTTACAGTTTTAACAAACAGGAAGTAGAGGTAGCCAATATCAGCAACACGGATCTTTTCAGGATTAATCACAGCTTCAGAAATGCAGGTTTGCCTGGTGTCTGGAGAGGAGAGATGATAATTAGTGAAGGTGATTTCAGTGGAGACATTTCTATTTTCTTTGGACAAAATGTGAGAATTGAGAAGTAAGAAAAGACTCAGAGACTTGACGAAGCAGGAATGATTGTGAGGAAAAGGATGGTCACTGGTAAAGGAGGCAACTGAAAGTGCGACAGCTGAAAAAATGTGTAAAGATGAGGAAAATGAGGAAAGCATATGTGGTCAAGATGAAAAGATTTCATTCAGAGAGAGAGGCTGTGCAGTGGAAACTGATTACGGAGAGAAGGTGTTAACAGTGTCTGGGAATCAAGCCTATCCAACTGAACCATATGTGTATACTATTTGTTCTCTGTATGAAATGCAGTACAGAGATATTAGTTTGGATCTTTCGTGAGAAATTTAGCTGCTTATATCCTAAAAGTGATCGCTAAAATCACTGCATCGTAATTAAAGTAACTTTTTTCTGTTTGTCTTGATTTATTTTATTCATTATTTCTTTTACTTGGTTAGCTATACCTCAATGCTGCCTTTGTTTCCTAGAAAAAAAATTCAATTGAAAGTTTCAAGGTGGTTTTCTTTAAGGTTTTTCTATTTGCATATGAGAAATTTCTTACATATCTCAATAAAGGTGCCCAGCTTTGCCACCTTGGTTAGATATTTTGCGTCTCCTTTGCCCCTCCCCCATATAAAGTTACCATAATTGGCAGGGAGGTGTGAGGCTGAGGGCTGACTTGCTTGGGAACCTTTTAAATGTTGCTTACCCTTCCAGTTTTTCAATGTTTTCCATCCTCATAAAATCAAATTGTTTCACATTCTGCATTTATAAATTATTGACACTAGATTTTTATTGATTAAATAATCACAGTCTTCTTTTTTGTCTTTGACAGGTCAGTGTGTTGCTGCAATCCCAACCAGATCTATGTTTAATCCCAGATTTGATCTTTCTCTCTGTCGGGCCAAATTGGAGAGGAATGGTTTTGAGGTTTGTTGAAGCTCAGAGATTATAATCTAAGGCAGATTTTACTCTTATCACATGATGTTAATTAGTTTGTTTTCATTAGATTCCTGTCAGTGACATGGAGATTCCACTGAAAATAGCCCTGGACGTCCCCTCAGTCAGACGATACATGGTTTTCAACTCCGGCCTTTTCCACTTTTTAATGGCACCGGTATTTTTTTTAAACCCTCTTGGTTTTACTTCTTTAGTTTCACTTCTTTAACAATTGTGGTTTTTGTCCTTCAGAATATAACATTTGTGCAAAGACAATTTTGAGCAGAGTTAAACAAGGAAGCAGTAAGCTTATATACCAAGGTACAATAGAGTTAATATATATGCATACACATACACCTGGACCAAATTGTTGGTACCCCTTCTTTAATGAAAGAAAAACCCTTGATGGCCATTGAAATAGCTCCTAAATCTGACATTGCTTTTAAACCCTGCTTTTACAGATTTATTTTAAAAATAAATCCATGAAATAGGCCTTGACAAAAACGATAGTACCCCTTGAAAGACTGAAAATAGTGTGACCAGATATGGGGCTACAGGTAGTCACTGTGCTGTATGTATTGACATGGTTAACTTTATCTAGTTTCAATTCAGTTTATTTATATTGTGCCAATTAACAACATGTCATCAGGGACAATACAATCAGATCATACAGTCAGATTGGTTCAAAAAGTTGTATTTCTATTACAAACCTGCTGATTGCAGCAAGTCATTGACTTTGCAGGACACTCTCCTCTTGGATGAGCATGTTGTGAGAGTAGATATTCGCTTGGATTTTGTTCTTCACTCTTCAGCAATCCCTCACACATAGCATGTATGCAGCAACAGTGGAGAGAAAAACTCCCATTTAACAAGAAGAAACCTCCAGCAGAACCAGGCTCAGTTTGAGCAGCATTCTGCAGAGGCAGACTGGGAGTTCAAGGAGAGAGATGCAGGCATACAAAGGGAAAATAGAAGCACTGATCCATAAATACTTTCTGTTAGAAAAGATAATGGTAAACTGACTCCACAGATGGCTCTGTCAAGGGAAGAAACAGCTAAGCAGACAAGCTCTGAGCCAGTTTTCTGAGTCATGTCATGGGAATGAAAGAGAGCACATACAGTTTGTCACAGTAAAATCTGAGCCCATACGAGATAAACCGGAAGAAACACTAAAACCCAACTCTATCAAGAATAACCGAAGGTGCTGATGGCAGAAGCCCAGCTGATATTCCTCTCCAAGATGGATTCAAAGCTAAACAATTAAGCTACTATGATGAAAAAAAAATAGAGACGACATAAAGTAAGGGGTTAAACTAACAAAAACTGGAGATAGAATAAAGATAGAATGAAGCAGAATGGTCAAAAGTGGTCCTCGTGTCCTCCAGCAGACTAAGACTATAGCAGCAACTATAATGGGAGCTCAGGATAACATGAGAGACTCTAACTATAAGCTTTATTAAAAAAGAAAGTTTTAAGTCTAGTCTTAAAAGTAGACAGTGTGTGTCTTTGTATATATACATATACTTTTCAACTTTATAGCAATAATCAAATTGCAGGGGGGTTTAAATCTTATTGTTTGTTTGGGGATACAAATCTTTATTGTTTTTTAGTTGTTTTTTTACAGTTAGAATTTGTCTAATTTGAAGGCAAGTTATTTTAATTTTGGTTTCCTCTGCCTTCACTAGGTGCTGTACGTGGTGTTATGGTGCGCAGGTTTTTCAACCCTACACCTTTATATCACTGTAACTGATTACTGGGTCCTCATTCTCTCTGTCAGTCTCATCGCTATCCTCCTCACCACTGCCATCATTTTCATTCTTCATCACAGTAACAAAAAAGTAGGCAAGCCATGGTGTTGAATTATAAAACCTTACATGAACGTCAAAAAGCTAAAGTTCTTTTCTTCTGTTTAGATCAACATCAACATAGATGTTCGGTTAGTCCAGGTGAATGAGAGGATGATGAAACACAAATTGTTGGTGGCTGTTGCAGACTGGGTGCAGAACTGCACAGGACACATGCAGGTTTGTGTCACCAAGCAAGATATGTGTATGCCTGAAGGGTATACCTGGATAGTCTGTGCCTGATTTAAAGAGAATATACACAAAGCATCAAGAACAATGGGCCATCTGCAACACTGGTGATAGATTGTTTTTTTACAGCTTTTCATGTTTGGCCTAAACCTTGTGTAATTCTGGGGTAATTTTGTGTCAGCACCTTATCTTGGTCCATGGTGCTGTTTGGAGGAGTCTGGCAGCAGGCTGGGGCTCCACACCAAAATACAATGGAACTCCAACATTTTCCTGTGTTACAATGATCCAATTAAAATCCTAACTTAAATCCAATCTAGAATCCATAACAACTTAAAAATTAATGTTCATTGACACTGCCTCCTGCAGTGGAAAGAATTAAATACTATCAATGCTTCAGCGGTCGCACCATCACTGATGACGGATGGTGTCTTTGCTGTTGTTTACTCAGTTGGAAACAAACCGCAGATTTACAAACCTCTTGTATTCTTGCATGTGTGTCTCTGCAGTTGTACTTTGTGTACTGGGACATGTCCAGCTGTTTGAGGACACTGTCTGATACTTTAGAGGAGCTCAGCTTTGTGGCAGATGACACCCAGGTGAGAGTCGAGTACATCTGTCATTCTTCTGCTGTTTTATTAATTTGTCTGAAGTTCCAGTAGAGACATGAGCTAGAATAGAGGGCGAGTCCTTGTGGTTTCAAGCCCTGTGTCAGAACAATCAAATCAGTCCGTTTCTTCTCAGAAAACCATGAAGAGCAGAATGTCACATCTCGTCTTGGTAATGGAGGTCCCTCCCATAGACCCCGAGGCCGCTGTTTCAGAAGTTGAGCAAGACTGTGATGAAAACAAACCTCTGCTAAGAAATGAGGACACAAGAAGCAGTACACCTTCCAGCCAGCAGGGGGCCCCAAAGGTCACTTCTAATTACAGCCTTGTTCCTGAAGCTTTACTACCTGCCCAGGTGAGAGGCCAGGATGTTTGTGACTGCTTGGTAATATTATCAAATTATTGTTATCTTTATAAGAGATAAAATAATACAGTCTAGGTTTGATCAGCTCTCAGGCTCTGATTGGTTCAAATCAATTTATTACATTTGATGTATGTGATTTATAGCTAAAGAGAGGTGAGTATCCAAAAATTGAAAACAAATCAGAGTGACGCTAGTTAAGCATAGTTTTATTAAAGCCACATTAAAGAGTAGCCATTAATAAAATTACTCAAGATGGTAAAAAAAAGCAACTCATGGTAACATCTAATGTACTGTTTACAATAAAACATAAGTACCAGTCTGTATCTAAAATAAAAAAAGTAAAACCATAAGAATAACATAATTACATAATTATCAAGATAACATTTATGAAACTAATACTTACAGTAAACATAACATCTTAGAGTGTAAAGTATGTCCAGTAAAAATATCTATTGTCGATTAAGTTGATCTTGAAATGCAATAGAAGGTTTAGCAGATAGAAAGTAAAGCTTGGTTCTAAAAAGTAAGGTAAATTCAATGTGTGTCTGGAGTATTTTTGTATAAAACAAATGAAGTTATTCCCAGTGGGTGAGAGTAGCCTGATTAGTTTGTTCAAGAGCACCAATACTTTAGAATAACATTACTGAGATAAAAGTATGGTGAAGTTAGTCTATTCCTGAAAGAATATTTCAATATATGTTTACTTAAAAAAGTCTGTCCAGTAAATGTTTCTAAATTATTATAAACAGTTATCACTGACCTCTTAAACTAAGTCCATCTATAGAATAAAAAAAAAAAGCAAAAGGAACTGATTGCATGTACATTACTTTCTGTGTAAAGTAGTACTTTATTCCCAACAACTACTCTGTGGGTTTTAACCTAAAAAGCAAAATCTATTAGAGATTGAGAAGTAATTTTTGGTAATCTTAATTAACTTAAAAGAGAAAAGGTTTACAATTATTTAAATGTCCCACATTGATTGCATGACATGCATTGCATGACTTAAATGGAAAAATGAATGACTGCTGGTTGCATTACTGCTTTTTACAGGGGGGTTTGAATCCCTGTGATAGACTGCTATGTCCAGGGTGTACACAAAGCCCTTTTGGAGATATTAATGAAATAAATTAAAGCCCAAAATTAATGTTCTTAATGACCATGGTGGATGTTTAATAGAACCTTGTTGTATTTGTGTCTTTGTTCCAGGCTAAAGCATACCAACTTCTGATGACGTATAGCGCAGCTTATGTGAAGCTGCTTGTATCTGAGAGGCTGTCGGGGCCAACCCATCATCATCTGAGGCCCCTGAGGAATCACTGCACCATGGCCCCCCTCTGCCTCTGCCAGTACGTTAAGAAGAAAATCCTTCAGTAAGAAGAAAAATCACACACAGGAACCTGGATTTAGTGTTGAAGGAAAACAGAGAAACAAAGACTGGACAGCATCTGTTCTTCCAAAGTAAACATAGATTTAGGTTAGTTTTATTTACTGATTATGGTTTTTGGGCTGTAATACTTGGATTCATTTAGCTGGGCTGCTGATTTTCTGCCAGCTATGTGTTTGTACCACCTGGATGTTAATTTGTTCGCATTGAGCCAAATGCTGTCAACATTCAGCCCAACTGCTGGAAAACAATATTTATAATTGTTTATACACAACCATCATGACCATATTTACTACATTGTGTCGTTTAAATTATTCGTACCAATGATATTATGTAGAGCTGTTTGATTTAATGTTCTGTATACAGTAGTAAACTGCAGAGAGGATGCTCTGGGTCTGAGGTCTTCCCTTGCAGGACTGATCTTTTTTTCTTATACATGTCATAAAGGGATTAACACACACAATATGTATGGATACCATGTTAGAGGCATTGCTTCAAGTGTGTACTCTTGATCCGAATGTTGAAAAATACCTTCTTTTTTGTATCAGAACTTATTAAATATCAAATGTTTTTTTATTTAATATTTAAAATACTTTTGTACTCATCTTAGTGTTTGATATTATTATAAATTATCAAATAGAGACAATATGTTTTCCCACTGTGGTTCATTAGGAAAAAAATGATTTTAAACCTAGCCCAACATAAAAAAAAAAAAAAAACTATTCACCTGTTACAGCTTATAGCTTGTGCTAAATTAAACGACAATTGGACCCCGAATATGTTCAGAAAAATAACAAAAGTGCTTCAATAAGAAATTCATGAAAAACACTCAAGAGAGTGCAAGAAACATTTTTTTTGTACAACATAACCTTAGAGGCATTAATGCTGATACTGGTGCTTAATTTTTTTTTTGTTTATAGATCCTAAATATGATTGTTAACTAGGATTATTAACTTTTTAACTTTACTATTTAACTTTTCAATGAGCTTTTTACCTTTTTTCTTGATTTAACTTTTTTTTCTCAACTTAATTTACGGTAGATAATATATCATTCAAGAGCTCATCTAATTGGTCAAATGCCAAAATAAGATGTACAGCCATCTTGTGATTCTAGACCTCACTGAGGTAAGTAATCAAAAATGGTAAGTTTCTCTATAAAGGGATAACTGGAATTTGACATTTAAAGAAAAAAAAAAGATAGATTAGAGTGATAATAAGGGGGATTAGAGGCAACCTGTTTCTGCAGGATCACAGATGGCCATTTAGCTTCCTGAGGTGATCCTCCGTCTGTGAGATCGTTTAACTTGGCCTCACGCTGCACGCCTCTATCCTCCATCACACGATCTCAGCTTCCCCTGGGTCAGCCTTGCTGGATGCTCGCTGTGTGTGTTTGTCTCATCCTGCTGCACCCATGTCGGGCTGCAATCTCAGCTGCAACATCAGGGTCTGATGATGGATGGAGGCTGGAAACGTTTCAGGGAGCTGGTAAGAAAATGTCCATGCAGAACTGAAAATGGTGGTTTACCTTCAACGAAGAACGATCCCCATTATTGTAAAAGTTTGATTAATTAACTAAATTTTTAAGTAATGCTTATTTTTTTATTTTGATTTATGAATTACCCAGGTATAGAAAAATATATTTCTTCAAAGGATGAACCATTTTTGCTTCCAAAAACAGCAAATAAACTATTAATATTTAAAATTATTCTACAGGCATGTTATTACTGTCTTAAAACAAACTTCCTGAAAACATAAAAAATATCAGTTTGACATAAAACTGTATATGCAGCATTAAATTGGCTCAGTGTTGGGAGGGTGTGTTACAGGGTGATGTGAAATATTAGATTTCTGCCAACTTTGGTTGTCGACCAAAATGTTTGGTTTCACTCTGATCATTCCAAAAAAAGAAGATGAAAAATAATCCACTGGTTTTTGTTTCCAAGTTTGAAGATGTTTCACTTCCCATTCAGGAAGCTTAATTCAAAATGTCAGGAATAGCGTTGAATGTGACTCTGACGCTTATCAGGCCAGAAGACCTTTATCTTGCAAACATACTAATGGTTGTGATGTTGACAGATTCTCTCTGCTGCTACTAATTTATTATATGCTTCTTAGTCATTTCTCTGATAAAGGTTCTTCTTCTACAATAGTAAGCACAGGTCCAGTTTCAGAACGCAATTCTGCTCTTCACACCCTCACCAGTGGCTCCTGTTAACATTGCCTGAAAATGGCCAAGGACTTAGCAAAGATTTAAATTTAATAATAAAAAGTCAAGTTTTGTGAGTTTTCATGTTATACCTTTCACCTCCTAATGGCATTTCTCAAAACAGAAAGACCTTTGTAATTAAGCAAAAAACTGCTTTTTTTGCTTGATTTTTTTAAAATCCACAGAATGTTATCCTGAAAATTCTTGATATTTATTTGTTCTAAGTGCTGAAAATAGTAATAACAGCTCTAGACTGTTTAAATTAGTAAAATCAAGAGCAAAACTGGCATTCTGGATTTACCTCTTTTTACCGCAGGTTTGCAGGCCACTTCTCATTTCAGATCATAGACTCAACAGATCTCTGCAAGATGTCTTATTTTTGGCTATTGTTTTCATAACATAAATCAACTTTCTCTCTCTGCAACCTGTCTGTTGCTGTCCTTGTCTCCATGATGCTTTTTTTTTTCTCCAACCCATGTTCTAAACAAACCTCTTCACTGACTTACACTAGGATTAAATGACAGACTAGTAAACTGCGCTATTTGATCGGTATTTGATTCCAATAGATTTTATTCAGATGTATTAAATTAAAAAGCCTGCATACATACTATAATTACTTTTCCAAAAAAATACAATTAATTCATCATCACCTGATAAAGAAAAAAAAAACCTACATACAGATGATTATCCTATTAGGAATATGAATGACTCTTTTTGTTGCATCCTTTCAAAATGGGTAATCTTCAACAAAAAAGCAAAAAGCTTGCATTCTCAATTCTAATGGTTTTGCCTGCAGTGGAAGAGTTTTGGGGAAGATAATTATATTTTCTGTGGTGCAGAAATGTCAGCCGCTGCAAAATAAATACCCACAAGACCTCATGTGATTAAACAGAAGATTGTGAGAGCTTCTGTGTATCATTCTCCAACAGAGAAGGGAGGAAGAAAAAACCGGGGCAACTATAAATAGCATCTTAGTGATGAGGGAGAGAGGAGATGCCACAGTGACAGAGAGGATCGAGAGGTGATGCAGAAACCAGACACCAAAGATTTCCTTCACAAACCAGAATTATTTTATTCGTTACTCAAACAACTGAAATCGGAAACAACCAATGCATGTGCAACACAGCCAAGAACATGAGGATGATAAACCCCCTACATGTACACAAGGTAGTTTTTGGCTCTTTAAACAAGCAAATCCCTTAAAAACTTAAGATAATGACAGAAACAGGGGATCATCTTGGTGCTGTAGCACAAACAGCTGCAGTTATTGTAAAGCACATGGAGAGTCGCAGCCTAATGCCACATAATAGAAGTCTCTATATTCAGCAGACACACACTCACTGCCAGAGCCTTCTGCACAATAATACTAAACAGCACTGTGCCTCAATTACGCTGGAACACATCGTATAATTAAAGGGCCTGAATTTATCAAACAGAAAAATTTGTATTTGCATTAAGAAATACATTTACACCTGTTCACTACAACTTTGATAAGTATGTTTTATATCATTTTTTGACATTTATTGTTTGTTATTCTATTTGGCCTTGTTTCAGACAGTGACACCGTTGCTAAGCTATTGTAGCTCCAACTGTTAGCCTTGCACCACAAGGCTTCTATGAAAAAAAGTAATGAAATAAATCTGCAAGCTCTAATATGCTGACCATAAGATACCACACATCTTCAATATGTAGAAAGCTAAAAACAAACAATGAGGTGAAATAAGGCAAGTTAAAAATCTGTTCTGAGAGTGTAGGGCCAGCCATGCGCCATTTCCAGGCTTGTAACGAAAGCTAACATGTATAACCTCAATTTAAGACGGAGCTTTTCTTTTTGGTTGGGTTTTTCTTATGTTCAAAGAAAAATATTCTACAGATTTGAAATGCACTTATGTTAAAGAATAGAGACATTTCAGGTGCAAGAGCTTTGAAGTGGATGTTGTCAATTTGTGCAGACTGAATTTCAATGTTAAACTTGAAAGACGAGTTTCTAATCTAGATGAATCTAGAATCTAGATGATAACATTTTATTTAGGGGGGGGAAGTCAACTTTTTGTTTCTTTCTGAATTTATTAGACTTCTTAGCATTCTTAAACTGTTAGCTTCAGTAAAACGTTCTGCCATGTTTGACGGTTGCCTCTTAGATCATTTAAAAACTGACCCATAAGATCTATGCAGATATTAGGTATACAGTGCTTTGAAAACATTTTTTCTCCTTCCATGTCTGTTGTTATCCCCTATTATTGCATTTAAATATTTCTGCAAGATATACATTTTAGGTATAAAACGAATCTTCTAATTGTTTCATTTCATTTTAAAGGGGGAAAGAGCTTTTCAAATCAATTTAGCCATATATGAAAAGGCAACAAAACCTATTACCTGGTTATTTTACATCTGGATACAGATGAGCATTAGGGCCATTTTACAAAACCAAAAACAAAACGACCAATCAAGAAAAAAAAAAAGGTTATTTAATTATGACTTTATTTTCAGATTTCAGACTTAAATCTCAGAATTAAAAGTCAAAATAATTAGAAGTATACCACCAAAGCCCAGGGTTGTCACTTTGATAAGGGAGGAATATAAAAAATAGTCATAATTCTATGAGAATAATTTGGATTAAAATCAGAAATAAAATAAAAAGTCAGAGTTCTGAAAATAAAGTCGGAAATCAAAATCATTTTTGGCTTTCTCTTGTAACATTTTTTTCAATGGCCCTAATCCTCTTCCATACCTGGTAGCAACAGCTGCCAACAAGGTTTATAATAACTGGAAATAAGTAAAATGTTATATTCAGTTAAAAACATTTTTCAGTCAAACCAAGTGCTGATTACTGCCTGACCTGTTGAATCAGGAAAGCACATTAATAGCCGCCTGACAGCATGAAGCAGTCTTAAGAGTCACTGCTGATTCTGTGTAATTGAATCTTTAGCTGAAATTAGTGTGTTAAAAATGTTATCTGTGTAGAGTTCATTCTTTAAAAGGAAAAACGGGTCCAGAATAGCTGGCTTTTTCCAGGAATAAAGGCTGCAAATGTGATAGTCATTAGATATATCTCCCTTAAAATCTGAGTAAAAATATGTTGTTCTGGACATTTCTTAGAAGAGAGGCACATTTTTTTTTAAGTGATTGGAAAGTAAAACAAATTAGTAGTTTGTTAGACAACCTCAAACTGTGAAAATGCTAGATGAGGCTTCAACTTATGGGGATATTTCTTATTATGGCATCTACCTTATGCATTACATATTAGGGATAATTAATATGTTCTAATATTTTTAAGAGGTCCTGTTGCCTAATTTTGCAAGGGAACCACCAATTTAAGGAAATTTTTAGGCTGACATTTTAAAAAATACTTTTTTTTTTTTTTTTTACCAGAAATATTGAGGATGAATTTAGACCAATCAGGTGCCAGACGTTTGTCAACTCCGTGCAGATGGGAGGCAGTTCTTCCTGTCTTTTGGTAGATGTCTGAACAAATGTATTTTTTATTT